ATTGATGTGGTTAGTTTGAATACATTTGGTTCTAAACGTTGGACCGATAATTTTATCACCATCAGCATCGATCTCATAAACATTAATACTGAAGTCTTTATTATTTTTCTGGAAATGGATAATACCTTTATTCGTTTTTGGAAACTCGATTCCTGAAAAATCCAATCTTATCCCGTCATATACAATTATTTCATTATTAATATTAATGTGGTAAGTTGTGGGCTTTGTCATTTTCTCTCGTGAATACTTTTTTTGCTTTGCTGTTGTAAAGATAGCACTCTCATGAGTTTTGTTAGCTATGAATGCCAGTATGCACCATTTGAAACAAAATACGTCAGTATTCTGTACGTTTATAAGTGCATTTCGGGCTCTTATATTCTTCGGGGCCTGAATGTATCCGCTAGCAGGAATGTTTTCTAGCTTAATTATAGTAATTTCAAAATAATTGAAATTTTTTATTACCCAACCAGAGTCTTTTTCTTGAAACTCACTGCTCGATGCTAGTAAGCTATCTACTGCCATATTAAGTTCATCGATAATGCTTTCATTTTGGTATACAGATTTATATGATGTCCCAAAATGTTTTGTTGTTTCAACAGTAACTCCTTCGTCTGTTTGTTTAATATAGGTACCATAAACTCTTAGGTTCAATTTAATGGCTCTATATTCTATCATGCAATGCTTTATAATTTCAATTATATTTTTTTGGCACTGCTGATAAAAATCTTTTAAATCAATAGTGTTTTGGACTGTACTATTGATTCGATATGATTTAACAGGAAAAACAGTTTGAGAGTTAAGAAGAATTATGTTTTCATTAGTTTTTACTTCTCTGGCTGATGCATTTTTATGCTTATCGGTCAATATGTGTTGACGTTCCCTTGATGCAAGATATTTATCACCACAAGTAGGACATAAAAGTTCTAATTTTAAATCATTTTTATTTTCGCTAATCTTAGCTTTTTTTCCTTGTTTGAGTACTTCCTTACCCTCATCCATCCTCATCCGTTTGAGAGCATTTGATGATGTTTTGGGATGATCGTCCAGATAATTTTGCCTTCTGTTTTGTGGTTGCCGTTTTTCAACATTCATTAAAACATTGAATGCATTTATAGGTCCATTACAATTTTGATAGTGCTCGTCAAATTCATAATTATGAACTCAGGTAGAGCATAAGTCACACCTTATTTTTGATTTACACATTAAAACCTCGAAGGCATTCCGAGGCTTTGAGCACTGAGCATAATGAGCTTCAAACTCACTCATCTCCACATTTTTGGTGCACAAATCACAAGCAACGAATGACTCCATTTTAGGGTTTTGGTTTTAATATTTTTTTTCAAAAAATATATTGTTATATGTTGTAATGTTGTTAACAATTCTCACCCACTCGTTATTAAGGTAAAAAGCACGATAATGTTGTTAACAATTTTCACCCACTCGTTTAAAAGGTAAAAAGCACGATTAGAATTGTTAGGCGCGATTGCAAGGACCGATGTGGATCTAATTATTTTATTAGAATACAGTACTGAGGCATTTGAAGAACTGATCCTGAGCAATTTGAGTGGTGTCATTTTTATAGTCCAGAATGTTCACTTAACAGGTTGACATCTACAGGGAGTGCATACAGGCATGTTGTACTCCTAGAACCAATCCGATTGGTTCTCGAACATAAGGAGCAGCCCAATACCCCAGTAGAATGGTTATTAGAAGGAAAACGAACACAAGGATTGATAACAAGTTAACGGGGGTGAACGTGGTGTAGGAGGGGTCTGGATGTAGGTAAATATCGAAGGTGTGCAACTTCGACATAGGTTAAGGAAAGGCAATCTCTGGGCCAGCATTGGCATAAGATGTCGCGATGCAACCATTCGAATTTCTTAAGCCTTAAACTAAGAGTAGCTATTAAAAGCGGTTGCGAAGGTTTTTTAGGCGGTTTTAAATGTATTTTGTGTGAGTTGTTTTTAATTGCAAGCGTATACTCATCCCATAATCAGTGTGTTTGGTATTCCACGGAACCCTCCCGTTTTATTGCATTTCAAATATTGTGACCCTTCGTTATCTTCTGAGAATGAGCAGGAGAAAGTGAACGTGCGTACCCACGAACCCGAATCTCACCCCCTACCCTCGAGTCCTTGCTCATGACTGCTTGTGCGCGAAGGTGTGAAATTTTAATTTTGTGAGTTTTGTTCAAAATGTGCAGTTTTTATTTTTTTTTTTTTAGTGATGGGGTATACTATTTAGGGTATCGGAGGTCATCGTTGCCTTTTTCAGTCGAGTAGTGGGAATATACGGGAAGAGGCAGAATTTGAAATTCGGTACAATTTTCCGCTTCAGTGCACCGTTTTAAGAAATTCTTAAAACTACACTTCTTATCCTACACATAAATATTATTGGGTGGCCTCTAGATATAAACCCTGAAAAGTGTTCCCAATAAGAAATTTAAAACATAAACCTTAAAGTGATCCCACTAGCTAATTTTTCTATACACACCCATCTTACTTTATCGTAGACACAAACAATTTCGATATCCTCAGCTAATTGTTCTATATACTAACTTCTAACTTTATCGTAGACACAAACAATTTCGATATCCTCAGCCCTGAAAAATGATCCTATAAGTCTTATACAACTTGAACATTAAAGTGATTCTTCAGCTCATTTTTCCTAAACACACTCCTCAAAAGGAATCGTATAACATATAAGAAAAACTAGAGTATAAGACCGCAGCGGCGGTCATCGCAGCGGCAGTCTCGGCAGCGTCCAAACCTCCGCTGCGAAAACCGACGCTCCCGTATATTCCCACTACTCGACTGAAAAAGGCAAAAAACGACGATGACCTCCGATACCCTAAATAGTATACCCCATCACTAAAAAAAAAAAAAAATTTGGTATCATTGGAAAGCATTTTTCAAGCCCTTTCCAATGGTATAGTTTTCTCTGTTCTAAAATAAAAACTGCACATTTTGAACAAAACTCCCAAAATTAAAATTTCACACCTTCGCGCACAAGCCGTCATGAGCAAGGACTCGAGGGTAGGGGGTGAGATTCGGGTTCGTGGGTACGCACGTTCACTTTCTCCTGCTCATTCTCAGAAGATAACGAAGGGTCACAATATTTGAAATGCAATAAAACGGGAGGGTTCCGTGGAATACCAAACACACTGATTATGGGAGGAGTATACGCTTGCAATTAAAAACAACTCATACAAAATACATTTAAAACCGCCTAAAAAACCTCCGCAACAACTTTTAATAGCTACTGGCGATAAATCATTTTCGACCATATATTTATGGAAGACATTTCACAGTCAAGACAGACCATAGGCCATTAACCCGAGCTCAAAACTAACGCGAATGAGATTAGACTTAGAAGAATATGATTTTACTGTGGAATATCTTAAGGGAAAAGACAACCATATAGCCGACGCGCTTTCAAGAATAACCATAACGGATTTAAAGAATATTCAAACGAATAATAAATTTCTGACAGTCACTACCAGAAACCAAAGTAAACAGAAAAATTCCTGCGCAGGAAAAGAAAAAGAAAAAATAAATTTGCCTAGGCAAACTCTAAATAAAGCTTCTCAGCCCAACGTATTCGAAGTCATTGTAAATGACGAGGTACGAAAAGTAGTGACCTTGCGTATAACAGATTCACTATGTTTACTAAAGCATGGAAAACAAGTTATAGCAAGAATTGATGTTAACGATATGTACACCAATGGACTTCTCGACTTAGGTCAGTTCTTTCAAAGGCTTGAAAAAGAAACTGTTATATTTAATATCAGCAAACTCAAAGTGGCACCGAGCGAAAAGATCTTTGACACTATATCAATAGAACCTTGTAAAATAATGGGCAATAAAATATTACAATCTCTAAGAGTAGCGCTACTCAAGCCGGTAACCCTATTATCAAATAATGATAAAGAGAAAGAAGCATTACTGTTTACATTCCATGACGATCCAATACAAGGAGGTCATACAGTCATAGCTAGAACATTAGCAAAGATAAAAAGGCATTATTATTGGAAAAATGTGACACGATTTGTAACAAATTATATAAGAAAATGCCCTAAATACCATAAATCCAAAACAACCAAACATACAAAAACACCATTGACTATAACTGAAACGCCGCAAATGGCTTTTGACAGGGTAATTGTGGATACGATCGATCCACTACCTAAATCTGAACAAGAAAATGAATATGCAGTAGCCCTAATCTGCGATTTAACTAAATACCTTGTGGCAATACCAATCCAAAACTAATCAGTAGAAAACGCTATATTTGAAGATTTTATTCTGAAGTACGGTCCAATGAAGACGTTCATAACAGACATGGGAACAGAATATAAAAATTCGATAATTGAGGATTACATATTACATAACTTCTACCGCACACCATCACCAAACTGTAGGAACCGTGGAGTTCATCCGCTCATACATCTCAGTTGATAAAACTGATTGGGATGTATGGCTCCAGTACTTCGTATATTGTTTCAACACAACACCCTCTATGGCACATGACTATTGTCCATATGAGTTAGTTTTTGGTAAAACTTCAAATTTACCTCAACATTTTAATAGCATAGATAAAATAAAACCTCTATATAATGTAGATGACTACGCTAAAGAATCTAAGTTTAGACTAGAACAAGCATTTAAGAGAGCTAGATTAATGTTAGAATCTCATAAAAAGAAACAAAAAATTAGATAAAAACTATGAGATCAGGTTTAATTGAAAAATGAAACAGGGCATAAGCTAGACTTTAAATATACTGGACCTTATAAGGTTGAAAGTATAGAAAAAAACGATAACATAGTTCAAATAACAAAAATAAAATTTGTATTTCATAATCACTTTAATTCTATTATAAATATATCCACGGAATAAAACCAGAACCGGAACCGATAACCGAAATAAACCGATTCCTAATAGAGAACCGGAACCGGTACCGGTACCAAAACCAAAATTAAATTTAGAACTGATTACCGTATTGCTGGTACCGGTACGGTTTTGGTACTTTACTAGATTCATAAAAAATCCATAATAAAAATACTGAAATCTGCATATGAGGTCCCACTTTTTGCCGGGGCGCTTTTTCCCTGTCTCTTATTAGCATTTGTGCTTCTTATGAAAGAAAATGTCTGAGCAGGTTGTAAATCCGGAATTTTTGGCGCATTTCTAAGCGGGTTTTTATTATATATGGAGAAAAGAGATAACTAGTCTCAACGACTACCTTAGCCGTCTCCTTTCATCAAGCTTCATTCTAGAATTTAAACAGAATTTCATGTGAAGCAGCTAAGAAAAGTGAAGAAAAGTAAAGAAAGTGAAAAATGCCTCGACCAAAATCGAATCCTCACCGAAAGTATTTCTCCTTTGACATTTTATCAAACACGAGCACGTGCCTAATCAAAAAAGATGATGTGAATTGTGGGCATCAAATTAAAGTAAGTATAAAAATTAACTGCTTACTTACTTACATATATATGTATGTATGCACATAATCCGTATGCATTTTATAGGGTAATCATGGAACTAATTTGTCGAAGCACATAAAGCGATCTCATAACACATTGATAATTGAAACTGAGGAGCAAACGAGTAGCAACCAAACAATTACTAAGAAAAATAGTGTGCCTGCTAAAACGATTAAGGATTTCATAAAACCAATTGTCCGTGTGTCCATTACAAGGGAGGATATACAAAATGCATGTGCTTTGCTGTGCACAGTTGATGGAAGACCATTTTCTTTAATGAACGACATCGGATTTAGGCGGATTCTGAATCCGTTAATTGAAGGATTAGGATGTGAAAACTTTATTAATCCTCAAAACGTCCGTGATGATGTTGTAGCCAAATCAGAGAAGGTCGTCGAAAAAATAAAAGAAGAAACTAAAGGAAAAATGATCGCACTTAAAATCGACGGCTTGACTCATCTGAATCGATCGTTTATTGGTGTGTATGCCTAAGAAAAAAATCTTATAAAAATATAATGCTTTCACAAGTTATTGTGCAATTTAGGAGTAAACATACAATTTATTTCTGATGGACATCTTGTCCTGCGCACATTGGCAACTGAAGAAATGTTTGCCTGCCATTATGGCTGCAAATTTAAAAGACACCATCCTTTTTGTTTTAAATCGATTCGAGATCAGCTCCCAGCAAATTTATTCTTGCACCACTGATAATGGACGGAATATGGTCAAGTTTGTGGAACTTCTAAGTAACGAAAACATTCCGGAGGAGTTGTACGACGACTCTTCATACGAGAATGAAACCGACGTCGACAACGACTTGTCTTTTATGAATGACGTTGTTTTGGAAAATAAGTGCATAAGTCTGAAACTACAAAATATTTATAAGCGGCTTATATACTTAACATTTTATTATTTACTTAATTTTAGGTGTTCGTTGTGCAGCACATACTCTTCAGTTGGCGGTCAATGCAGTACTTAAAGACAAAAATTGTTCGAAAACAATTGGTTTTGCCAGGAACTTGGTCAAAAAATTGCGAACACCAACCATGTCTTACATTATGAAGGAGAAAAATCTAAGAAAACCGCCCATTGATTGTCCTACGCGTTGGAGCTCGTCCGACAAAATGTTAGCGTATTTTGTAGAAGATGCAGTATACCATTTATATTTGGATCAAAAAGTTTGGGATTCAATTCGCGAAATTGTAAGCCTATTAGAGCCAGCTGAGGTTGTCACATCAAAACTTCAAAGCCAAAATTTGGTTTTCGGAGACTTTTACCACACTTGGATTAGTTGTAAGCTACTCGTGCAGAAAAATAACTCAAAGTTGGCCAAATTTTTGTTAAAAGAACTGGAAGATCGTGAAATTTTATTATTTGAAAACGATGCATTTCTGTGTGGAATATTCTTAGATCCCAGATTCAATATTACCCTAAGCAAAAATCAAAAACAGACTTGTATTAGTCTATTATCCAATATTTACTTCCAAATTCTATCGATATCCAATAATTCAATATCAATTATTGAGAAAAGTTTAGAAGCAAGCCTTTCAGAAAGCTTCGACGAAGTTGATAAATACCTAAAATTGGAAGAAGCAAGATCTGTAGGCTCACCTTCATGTATGTCTACATGCAGCCTTTTAGAATCAATACAAATTTTTCTAAAACAATGGCGCCTTTCCAAGTCATCAGACATTATTAAATGTTGGTCCGAGTCTTCCGAAAAAAGAGTTGTTTACAATTTCTCAAGTGGCCCTATGTGTTCCTGCTACGTAAGTGAGCGTAGAGAGGTTATTTTCCAACGTTAAGTTTATCATGAATCCGCTCAGAAACCGTTTGGACATGAAATCTTTAAACGCAATCATGCTTTTGAGAACCAATCACATGTTTTCCAAATAATTAACGTTTTTTCGTAAATTTATTATAATTATAAGTCATAACCATCTCTATGATTTTGGATCCATTGAACTATTATTAATGTGCCTTCAAATAAAGATTTTATTTTCTTAATAAAACATAAATCATTTTAATGTATTCATTGCCATAATAAATTGAACTTTGTTTAAATGTACCGGTAAGTACCTGTACCAGAACCGGAACCAAAACATCAATACCAAAATTGAATCGTTTACCGAATAAGTCGATTCGGTATGGGACCGGTACCAGAACCGGAACCAAAATAAGTTTCGGTTTGATTCCCTGGTTAGAAGCCAAAAGAGTTATTATGAAAGTATTCAATGAAATGGGAAAACCACAGGAAATCAAAGCAGATGAAGATTCATCATTTATGTGCGTAGCCTTACACAATTGGTTAAACTCGAAAAGAGTACAAGTTCAATTAACGACAAGTAAAAGCGGTATTTTGGACATAGAAAGGTTTCATAAAACAATAAATGAAAATTTAAGAATTACACCAGTTTACAAAAAAAAAATCGATGAAATACGCCTTCAAGGAAACAATTGTTTTCCGGTAAGGTACATCTCCCTGATTAAGTGTTGTACAACAAACTTTAAGTGTAAAACAAGCTAATATAAGGGATGATATGATTGAGATCTTAAACGCTAACATAGAGCAAACAATTCAAAAACAACTAGCAGCAATGAATTTAAACCAAGAAAATGCATTGTTTGAAATAGGGCACCCGAGATGCCAGTGCCTCTTTAGCAGAGCAAGTGCGGGAAACGAGTGGCTAAACTACAAATGGAAATAAGTTATTATAAAAAAACAAGAGAGAACGCTATAGTCGAGTGTCCCGACTATCAGATACACGTTACTCAGCACTTAAATTGAAAATTTATAAAAGTTAAGTTAAAACGTAAAGATCACCGCTTGAAAATGGGAATACGCTTCAAAGATTCTCAAAAAATCGCATTGGGCACACGGTTTTTTCCATAAGAGACTTAGTCGTAGACTTATGGAAAAAGGAAAATGTAACGTGCAGAAATGTTTGGTGCTTTTACAGCCTTCTAGTGCTTTTCAACACTGGGTAAACGGTCTTCCGTTTCTTTCTCTTTCGCTTATGCAAAGAACGAGAAGCCCCCTCCAGCGCCCCTACCATTGTTTTTCAGCAACTTTAAGGGATTCGATAATAGAAATTGGTATTGAGTTTATTGGAGAAATAGAAGGGGAGACAAAAACGATAAATTGCTGAAATTGTTAATTGTTCAATAGAATAACCCTTCAATTCTGGTGTGAGTTGTCAGAAGGCAAAAAGCTTTTTTGTTTTTTTTTTGGGCCTAAAACGCTGTGCCGCTGTCGAAGTCAGCAAAGAAATCAATGCAGCGTAGAAGACTGCCGACGAAAACGGTCGTACAAAAAAGAGAGGCCGATATTCTGAGGTTCCCTCTCTTTTTTTGTCTTATTTCGACCGGTTCGTAATTTTTTGCGTCTGCGTTTTGTTCGGCTAGCGACCAAAATTATGGCATAACAACTTTTGTGGCGAATGCCCTTATATTTTATGAGTATTATTGTATTTCGAAAAAAAAACTAAAACTGTTTTATAAAAGTAAATTATTTAATCATAGTAAAATTAAGTTAATTGAATTTACCTATAATTTTGTGTTTATTTCATTATATACATTATATGCATATGTATACATTACTATAACAATGTGATTTTTTACTTTAGCTATAGAAATTTAATCCGTTAAAATTTATTTAAGTATTTAAAACATTTTAATAATAACATTTAAAACAAATTCATATTATGTTTTTAATTAAGGAGTACAATTGTTAAAGTCGGATATGTTTCGCTTTAGAGAGGGTATTGGAGCAGTGCCACGCGCCAACAGCGAAGATAAAGCAAAAGAAATTATGTCAAGGAGTTAGAAGAAGAATTGGTGAATTTTGTTTGAGTTATTGAATGCGAAGCAGGCTGAAATTTTTTCTTATTAAAAGTGATATTTATTGACCCCTATAAAGTCATGTAAATGTTACATTAAGTTTAAGATGTTGTGCATTGATCTTAGTTTTAAGTAAGTCAATTTTTAAGGTGTTTTATGGGTCTTGCCAAAAAATCTAGAAAATTCTGATTCAGTTACCGAAATATATAACTTAATCAAAAAGTTTGCCAGGGAGAAATGAAAGCTATTAAAGATATGAGTAATTTATGTTTAGGTAATTTTTCTGTAAAACTAACAGTTTTCGTTGAAAAAGTTTCCGTTAAGCACACCGCCGATTTTTGTTTAATAAAACTTTTGCCTGCGGTGCTTCACTTTCTCGGGTCATAGTACTATCTTCGGTTTGCATGCGTGTACCTGATTTTAGTTTTTACTTGTATATTTCGCTAAATGGGAAAAGGAACATAAGCACGATATATCGTAAAAAAAGTCGAAAAAGGTCCATCACGTAAAATGCTGTTATCGATTAATCGAAACTATCTAACGCCATTTTTATGGGGGGATACTGCAATACTTATAAATGTTCACCTCCTATTTAAAATATTTCTTGTATGCTTTTTTCGAAAACCATTCAGTTTTCGGAAAAATGAATATAACATAATAAACCCCTTATTTTAAATATCTGAAATATTATTTTAATTTTTAGTTATACCTTCGAAAAAAACAGCAAAAAACCAAAAATGTTACGGTTTTTACCGTTAATTTCCAAGCTCCCGATATTTGCGCAAACGTTGACTATTTTTTCCGTAATCAGGACCCAAAAACACGTCGATATGAAAAGTTTGAACGAAATCGGGCGGTGGCTAAACGGTAGTTTATCCAATTGCTCAGATGCCCTTCTACAGATTTCCATTAAAAGGTCTCATATCTTAAGTCAATTACAACTTATTGTCATTTAACTAATCTATTCACCTCTATTCACAAATAATATTATGTAATGAACAGGCCTTTAAAAATAGCCCTTCTACAGTTAGAGCCTGGCTTTCCGTGCATATTTGTAGAATATTATACACCAAAAGACTTCGATATCATTATATTTTTTTTCTCCGAACATTCTAGCACCCTTTTGCTCGCATGGAGAATCGTTGAAGCGAACAGCTGAATGTAATAAGCATTCCATATAGGAAGGGAGAGGACTGCAAATTCAGTTGCTTGGAAAAAAAGGAAAAACAACGCAAAAATGAATGCAATTTGAACGCTAGAATGTTGAATGTTTTCAGCGCCAAGTGATTATTTCATTGCTATTAGCAAATTAATCAATGATGAGATTTTTATTGAGGCAAGCGTATTGAAAATTGAATAGGGACTTTTTTGGGCCAACAATGACGCCACGAGAATTTTCACAAGTTAGAACAGCTTGGAACCTTTTAAGCTTTATAACACCTTTCTCGCGAGCGAAAGGTAAATAAGCGAATAACACTTTTCGTCAGGTCTGTTTTTCAGCGCGGTACTCAGATGATCTATGGAAATACCAGAAAAAATACCAGATTTCGCGAGTGATTTTTCGATGAACACCGTTAGCCGCGGCCCAAAGAATGATAAATTTAATCTTTGGCGGTGTTCGTGCAGAAGCGGTGGGGAATTTAAAAATTAAAAATGGAAGAAAAACACTAAAAACGGCTAAAGGAGGTCAGTGCAGATGAAAAAGGACGCATAGTCCAAGCTGTTGCCCATTATGGTGGAAGCAATACCACAACGGGCAAAACTGCTTCAGCGCTGGAGAAGATCCACCAGAGAATCCCAGTGGGAAGGAACATGGGACATCGCTCGATCTCCGACGAGCTCTCGATTGAGGACTCCACCTCCACCAGCTACTTGACAGCTAAAGCGGAGATGGAGGACCCGCCGGCTTCTATAGGGAGGACAAAATAAGCTCGCCCGCTAAGGGTAAGCTGAAGGATCCATCACCAGCCATTATTGGGCAGCCTATTGGGACTCGGAGCTGGACTACAGATGGTGCGGGAAAGATGGCGAAGCATCCGTGGGACGAGAAGCCTTAAGCTTCTAATTTACATAAATAAAAACTTTCGTTGAACATTTCATTTATTTTTATTTAAATTTCCTTGTGCACCAGAAGACTTTTATTTTTTAAATTGTTCCAATTGATTTCATTTCCGTTTGGCAACAAGTCCAGCCGCTTGACAGTAAGACCATGCCATGCATTGCGGGTGAACTTTAAAAACTTCGGTCACACTACAAAGAATTAGATTTTTCGACTAGTGAAACTCTTAGCCGATCTGAGTACTAGGCTTATGGAAGAAAAAGTCGCTGAACCGGAATTTGGTCGATGAAGCAGAAGCCCCGGCGGTGTGAATAGGGTATTATCACATAAACTAGTACAGAATACTAAAAATAAACACTGGAATACTAAATTGATTAATAAATTGAAATTGTAGCGACTTGCCTCCTCCTGCCTCTTTCTAGCACTTGTGCTTATTATAAAAGAAAAAGTCGCTGAAGCGGAATTTGGTCGCTGAAGCAAAAGCCATGCCTGTATAAATAGGGTATTACAGGAAAAAACATTTTACCAATATCAGCTAAAAATTTTGAAGTATCCGAGAGGTTTATTTAAAGCACACGTGTACTTGACTTTCAGACGAACTACGTTAAAGAAAAATAATTATGTAAATAAAATCATTCGTGTTAAGCTGACTCGTTTTGAAAAAAATATTAACCATACCAGAAAAACCGAACAAATACCGACGACCCAAAAATGACACTAATTTTGAATTCCTCTAGATTCCCATGCGAATCCTAAAGCCTAATACTCACATCGACGAAAACCATATGAACTACATATTAAAATGATTAAAATACGAAACTGAAATGGTATTTATTTTTAGGGCATATGGTATTTTTTATAGGTGTCCGTGCGGTCACGCTGTTTTGCGGTCACACGGAAAATAAGTTTTTAATAATTTTCATCTTACACGTTTCGTAAAATATGGTGGACGAACAGGTGCTTGCTTATATATATTTTAAAATATAATAATTTTATTAAAATATTAATATGTTTCTCATTTAGTTATCTAGCGCTTTGCGAGATTTACCAGGCAAAGTTCTAAACGTGCCGGTTGAGGAACGACAACTTATATTCCGAAATGTATCGTCAGTTTTAAGAAATCCTGGTAAGAGATTAAGCATTAGTCAGCTACCCACTGTTTCGATCAGCAATGAACTAAAATAATCTTTTAGAATATGTTAATGTTCTTGGTAATTAAGACAATACATATTTACATATATTCATACATAAAAACTATAAATTTACAAGGTACATAAGTATATGTCACTGTGGACGTCCATTACGTGGCGAACGCGCACCAGGAGAGTGCGGTGAGGCGACTACTACATATATAGCCGCAGAATTGAAAATCTGCAGTTAAATCAAAAAATCAAGTGGTACACCAATCGAAAGGTGTTGCAAAAACTAATAATTGCTTACCAAGCCTTTCCTAATTTTGATTGGTTTGGGAGAAAATACGGTAAAGGTGAAAATTTAGAAAATTGGAGCTGGTGGGGATCAATGCCCCAGGTTATTAGGAATGTTATATTCTTACTGGGAATACGCGTCGGATGACACCTCATTTGCTAAAATCCAATACTCCGTTTGAAAGTTATTCCAAAAACAGAATTTTTGGGGTACTTTCCAAAATAAAAATGTTTGTCCCTTTGTTTGTGGGTTTGTATGAATCCCATTTTGGTTTTAGGGTCTTCGAACCTTTATGAATGGTGAATTAAAAAGATTGATATAAAAAACTTTTTCTCTACTACTTTTGGAAAACCTGCTGGTATGACGGTAAATCCAATAAATACGTTTCTGTAGCATTAGTTGTTTAGAAACTTTATAGCTACAAAAATAATGTAGTTAAAAAAAAAAAATTTTTTTTCCACTTTTTGGAAGTTGTTGATCGATACAAGGTGCAACCCGATTTAGTTTAGTATAAAAAATAATTCATGCTTACCCCAGACACCCCACATTTTATGAATGGCGAAAACAACGCAAAATTCTTGTTAGATATTTTTTAAGTAAAAGAAAATCATTTACAAGTTCGTCATCGACTAAAACTTGTTGTAATAAATAAATTATTAAAAGCCAGAAAAAATGTAGATTCAATTTCCGATGTCTAACTACACATAATGTTTCTATAAGTACGGGATACAGTAACTAAGTGGATATGGCCTTGATAGCGGAAGTAATTATGTTGATTTTAATGCTATTACATTAGCTCATGTATGAGTATTACAACAAAAGTGAATAGAATTTCAATATTTAATTGTTTAAAAAACTTCTTACCTCTTAATGAGGTAATGAGATCGTGACGATCGCACTTTCAACTTACAAAATGCCTGATATCAAAATGGTTGAAAATTTGACTAATAAATACACTTTTTAAACTCTTATTCGGAACGCTGCAATAGAATATGCCGTTGTATGCTGAAAAGTTAAATATTTTGAAACCAAAAGTTGTTTGCCAATAATTCTGGTCTTTTCAGACGAATTGCTTCACGCAAACGACGCATAACGCTTAAATAATATTCCTTATTAACAGTTAGGCCGGTTGGAAGGAATTTAGAGTGCACCGCACCACGATATCTAAAAAAAACGCAACCATGACCTAGATTTTTAAACGACTTTGACGTGCTCTTTTCGGTCTGGCCGCGCCTTTAGCACGATATTCGCTTCCTGATAGTCACACATAGTTCACACACATCAACGTGGCGAAAAAATAGGAAAATTCACTCTTGGTCGTTTCAATTGTTTTTTTGTTATTTAGTAAATTAGTCATATGAAAAAAGGCTTAAATAATAAGTATCTTGTATTTGAGAGTGAATCTGTCAATTATTGGCATATCAGATGCAGAAAACAGCTCTATGGCCGTTTTTTCGTTCGTCCTGCAAAGTACAATTTTCCAAAAAAGAAACAATTTTATCAGGCGACAAATCGGGTTTCGTTTCCTTTAAATATCCAATAAAACCAATTTTTTCAGACTAGGTGGTAACAGTTTCAGTCAAAACAGTCACACTAACAGCTAATGAAAATTGTAAACAAAATTAAAATCATGTCTGCAGAAAATAACTTTCTTCGTTAAAATTATAAATAATTAAATAATTAATAAATAATAAAAGTCCCAAAAACGTAACTTCGCATTGCAGCCTTGTAGAAAAGTAACGGTTTCGAAATGCATATCTCTTCGGAATCGCCTTTTAGGGTAATTTAACATGTGGTGAGCTCATTTCTGCTGGTATATCCAGGTTGGTTCGTCATAGAGCCATTTCCGGTAAATCGATGAAAATCTCCCAGCTAATCTAACAGCTACTTTGAAAACCTACAAAGGTTTCTTCAGTTGTGCAGTAGAGGCGCGGTGACATGTCTGAAGGCAATAACCTTTTTTGTTTTTTTTTGTGCCTAAAACGCTGTGCCGCTGTTGACGTCAAAGAGAAGTCGGCGCAGCGTAGAAGACTATACGAAAACGGTCGTGCAACAAAGAGATGCATACATTTGGAGGTTCCCCCTCTTTCTTTGTCTTATAATCTACCTGCACTAGGCGCTCTTAGAGACAAATTTCGGCCGGTCCCTCATTTCTTTTGCGTCTTTCCGTTATGCTCGGCTATCGCCTAACATATCGGCGGAAAAATTTTCGTGGAGCAGCGACATGAGAATGCCCTGATATTTTAGGAGCATTATTGTATATCGAAAACAAACAACTAATATTGTTTTATAAAAGTAAATTATTTGATTATAGTAAAATTAAGTAAATCGAATTTACTCATAATGTTATGTTTACGTTTTATACATTATTATTACAATATAATTTTTTAGTTAAGTTATAGAAATTTAGTCCGTTGAAATTGATTTAAAAATTTAAAACATTTTAATTTTAACATTTTTATAAAAATCGTACTGTACACTTTACTCAAGAATTAAAAATTATACAGTAGGATATTTTTCGCTTTAGAAAGGGTATAGGTGCAGTGGCACGCTCCGACAGCGAAGAGAATGCAAAAGAAATCAAGTAATGGGGTGAGAGGAAGACTGGTGCATTCTGTATGAGTTATTCAAGAGGAAGCAAGCAATTTAAATTGTGCGCAGCAGATTTACTTTTTTCTGTTCTTAAAGTGCAAATAAAAAAAGTAAGGTAAGTGTTACATTAAGTCTAAGATGTTGTTCATTGATCTTAGATTAACTACGTAAATTTTGAAGGTATTTTATGGGTTCCGTTAGCCGAAAGTGGATGATGAAATCGTTTGTGCAAATAAAAATCCCGCAAAGGGGTATACACAGCCCTAAAAGGTATATATACATATAAACAAATAAAACTCATTTTTTGAACATGTATGCCCATACCTTTTTTTAGGAACGTTGGCCAAGGATTCGGAGGTCCCGGACAAATGTTTAAGGAAGGCGATGACCAATGTAAAAAGCAAATTAACGAAACATATAACTAGGCTTACTAACAATAAGTGTCCTTTAACAGAAAACATAAATAACACTAATTAATTCAAATAAAGTGAAAAGTAAATAAAAATGTATGTATTTTAAATTCTATATTTTCATAGGTGGAAACTCATTGGAAATATACTGAATTCCACAAGTGATTTCACGTGGGACATATCACTTGCAGGTGATTTCATAAGTGAAAACTCATCGGAAATATTCTGAATTTCACAAGCGATTTCTCGTGGGACGTGTCACCGGCAGGTGTCAGGCCGTACTACAAATGAGTATAAGGAGCAAGTGAAATCCCAAGTGACTTCGAAAAATGTTCCTTTGATAGTTCTGATATACTCCTTATCTGACATAAAGTGGTAGCCATTACTTTAGCTCACTCGCCTACGGTCACGACCATTTTTATTTTTTGTTTTTAAATGAAGGGCAAGATTTTTTTGAATGCCAGAATGTTTCCTACTAAGTATCATTTAAGTACTGGTTACTTAGCCTTTTTTCAATGATACGTTTCTGAGAACCATTCAATTATGTACACTGTACCAAGTGAGGTATATTTCAGTAAGACCGGTCAACAACTTCCTCAAATACACATAGGAACACTTTGGTGATTATATCAAAGTTAAAACAAAGGTAAAAAAAGAAAATTTAGCCCTTTACTTAGAAACAAGAGAGAACGCTATAGTCGATGCCATCGACTGTTACATACCCGTTACTCAGCTAAGTGTACTGGGAAAACTAAGGGAGTGCGAGGGAGATAGAGATATACAAGTAGCAAAGTGTCTGTTCCCAAGATTGCACACTTTATTGTCTACATAACGTGAAACATAGGCGGCGCCTTTCTACCTGTTACATGCTTTCCGACAAATCTGGTATACCCTTTCACTCTACAAGTAAAGGGTATAAAAAGGACAATGAAAAAGTGAGAGCGCAGATTATACAATCGGTTGCTGAGGCAAGTCCTTAGCGAATAAAGAATTAAGGGAAGTATTCCAACGTCTCCGATTGGACTTATAAACAAGAGAAAACGCTATAGTCGATGACTTCGACTTCTAAGAGCAATAAGAGCAAAATCTCATTTAAATTTTTAAAAATTGTGGTCGCTTCGCGGGAGTTATTTCTTAGGTTCGTGGTATTGACGGGGAAAATTTTCCCAGTTATTAATTAGTAATGTGGTGGTGGTAAAAATAGAGGAGATAAGATTGTGTTCAGTTCGACAGTAAATCTTAGAATGACTTTATTTAATATTTCTTTCTTATGCTCAAGTGCTTATGCAGTGGTTGCATAACCACTGCTGACCTAGTGGAATGGAAGTAAAACCGGACCGGATGCAATGTTGCGATTTGGTCTCGGTGCGGCCCAGTTGGTTCTGTTTATTTGATATTCCATATTGCCAACAAAGTGTCAGGTCGACTCTTCTAATTGAGTGGCTGCCGCAGGGGTTTCGGCGGGGGACCGCCAAGGGCTAGTGCTGAGGCGGTAACTTCTAATTGAGTGGCCGGGTGGGTTTCGGCGGGGGACCGCCGAGGGCTAGTCCTGATTTTTCTGGAGACAAGATGTAGGGGAGATGGGCCTTAAATTTTTACCATCCGCCTTTTTTGGGAAGTTGGGTTGTTTTAATAATTTATCATCCATGATGGAAATCATCTTATTGTTGTATTAAGCTACTAATTCGTCCTTAGG